ACCTGTGGTTCACCAGTCACTTTGTGGGTTGGCTAACCTATGCCCTGTGGTTCACTAGTCACTTTGTGGGGTGGCTAACCTGTGCCCTGTGGTTCACCAGTCACTTTGTGGGTTGGCTAACCTGTGTCCTGTGGTTCACCAGTCATCTTGTGGGTTGGCTTACCTATGCCTTTTGGTTCATCAATTACTTCATGGGTTGGCTAACCTGTGTCCTTTTGTTCACCAGTCACTTTTGGGGTTATTTAGCATAAGTTATGCAAGTCATCAACTTATTTTTGAAATATGTTTTGATATAAATGTTAATCATGTTTTCTAATTGTTCTAGTTATAATGTATGTATCATGGCATATGGACAAACTGGCAGTGGAAAAACACATACTATGTTGGGTCCACATTATATCACAGGTAATATGGCAAGTTATGTGCCTAAAGAACCATGTGAAAGAGATGGTACAGTACCTAGGGCAGCAAGGGAACTATTCAAGTAAGTGTCATTCTCATCTCTGTATTATATCATAGACCCTCCATGATTAGATGGATAAAATATCTCAATTGCAATAGACTTTTTTGTCATTATAACATTTATTTATATGACAAGGTTCCCTGTTCAGACGCATGTATGTATGTTTTGACCTCCATGCTGCATACATCTCCACCTGCTGGGAATGATTACAGTCAAACATTACAAATACATCACATCATACATTGCACATGTATTTGTTTTATGATCTAATTTAAGATGGCTGAATGATGGCCATATTAATGCTAAAATTCATCCAAATTAAGCATTCCTGCCATTCAAAAACTGAATCGCACTCATGTATGGGCATATTTCTTTCAAAATTAGTATGTCCATTGAGCATATCAGGTTTTTGATGCAGTCATTGTTTTGTACAGTTCAGATTTAAAACATTTTAAAAAGCACAGTTCCAGTGCTATACAACACAAGTAGTACACAAAACACACATAATAAACTTGCTTTAGTTTGTATCATGTCTGTCATACAAGTGTCAGTCACAATAAATAATAAAGACATGAATGTCTTATATCTGTCATCATACCATGAGAAAGAACTTTGGGATGACTGACGTTTAGCTCATAAGAGATCCCCGACAAATACCAATAGGGACTGTGTCATTTCAATGACTTGTTATCTCATGAAATTTAAAACATAATTTGTTTTGAATACTGTATTTCAGATTAATTCAAGAGAAGCCAGCTGGATCTCATACAGTAGAAGTATCTGTCTGTGAAGTATATAACAATGATATTTATGATTTATTGAGACCTGGATCTGTTAAACATGATGTGATAACAACAAATGAAGGCTCCAGAGATGTCCCATCATTGACTCAAAAGTTAGTAAAAACAAAAGATTATTCTTTGTGATCTCTTGGGGGTGCTCTTTCAAAGTCATAACAGTTATTCACCAGTCATTTTGTGCAAGTGAATGATTTGCAGTTCTCGAGAAAACACATTATTTAAGATTGTGTTAGTTATTTGCTACCTCTACAAGATGGAATGAACAGCTGTGAATATATGTAATGGTACTCACATTGATATGTATATGTGCCGCCAAAAAGGGTCCCAAATTCACCACTTCTGTCTGAAAAGGGGTATGTTATTTTACCCTGTCTGTCTGAAAAGGGGTATCCTTTTTTCATTATTTCTGTCTGAAAAAGGGTCCATATTTTGCAAAGACTGTCTTGAGGAGCTTGAGGGACCCAACAATCAGGAGAATGAAGCTGATTTTTTCTTTCTGTAAAGCCCACCTGCTTTTCCCTTGATACCATTTTTGCTTACTGTCTGGAAAGGGGTGTCAAATATCCACAGTTTGTCTGAAAAGGGGTAGGCAAGTTGAGTTTATTTCTGTCTGATAAGGGGTAGGGGTTTTAAACAACCAACTACACACCCCTGTCAGTATTTTTTTGCAAGTACCCCCTCCTCCCAGGATGTAATGTCACCCATAGTCAAATATTATGTATTTACTGCTGCTTCAATTACTTTATTGTATTTATGAAATGTTTTTTGTTGTGTTTTACAGGTCAGTTCATAGTGCAGATGAAGTGGTAGCTTTAGTACAATATGGTATGATACATAGATGTACTGATGCTACATTGATACATGAACACTCCAGTAGATCTCATCTTGTAGTTACTTTAACAGTCACATCTCCTATTATGGAAACACCAACAACACCATCAACATCAAGAACTGGGTCACCTACTGATGTGTTTGCTGGTGAGTTCTCAACTCAAGTCATATTTCATAGTACTGGTATCTGTTATATTCATCATACCTTCAACATTATGGGTTCATGCCATCAAAACAAAAATTGGATCAAGATACAAGAGTCCAAAATGTCATGGAAATTGACATATTTACACTGGTATTTTTATAATGAGATTATTACTTCCTATCTATAAATTTTGCTTGAATGCTTGAAGAAAATAATGGGAGTTAGTGATATATTGAATTGCCACAGTTATGATGTGGGTTCCTCGGTCATGTACAGCATATGTAAAATACATTATTTATTTTCAAAGAATTTGCTCACCAAAAACTTTGAATTTTTTTTTTTATTGCTGTTTACAGCACAACGAATAAAAAAAATAAATACCTAATTTCTAAGATGCAATGGATTTTCTGAAAATAACCCTGAGTTTATTTATTGTTTTTCCATCCTAGTACCTCAAGCTCCAAGCCAAGGAACTAGAGAGAACAGACGTCTTTTACCAAATCCATTAGGATCCTGTAGTGGAAGTATGAAAGCTATGCGTTCTAGATCGCCATCACCATCCAGAAATATAGAGTATATGGCTAATAATATGCCTGTGGTGAAAACTAAACTGCAGCTAGTAGATTTAGCTGGATCTGAGTGTGTTGGTAAGATATTTATTATTAAATTCCGTTTTCAGTTGCTGTTTGTTCTATACTTTCTATTTCCTGTTCAAGCACAGCCTAAATAAGGAACTGATAACTTATCCGTTGTCATTCTGTCTGTTTATTAGCAGTATGTTCTAATTAATTAATCAGCAGATATCAATCAATGTCGAAAAACAAATCATAGCATCCTGTTTTCAAAATTTTCACTGTTAATCACCTTTTCCCCAAATCCATTAAAACAAATGGGATGTGCAATTCAATATTTCAAATATTTTTTTGTGACAAGCGATAGTTTCAGACATTGAATGTCTCTTCTGACTTTATTGGTTTTGGCATATAGTGCATTTTGCCACAGAATCTATGTGTCATGTTTGGAACTATTAGCTTCTAATCATGATGTCATTATGGCAATTTAATAATTATAAGTTTTTTTAATGGTAAATAACAATAATTTAGTAGTTATTATGTTACTATTATTTTGTTAATGCATTCAATGTGTTCTCATCATGTTGATTTCTACACAGTGGTGAATGAAACATACTTTCTAATTGTATTTTGATATTTCATAAATGTAAAACAAATATTAAAATACTCAGAATTTCAAAAATATGTTTGTTTCATTGTGGATCAATTTAAAGCTATTACACAGATGAAGATATTCTTTGTTTCATATTATTTAGTATCTTTTTTTAAGTACTTTTACTAACACAGAAACATTCATGTCTTGTTACTTTTATACTGCGTATTTTTTTTTCCAAACGCTGTAATAATATTTAAGTTGATTGTTTTAATATTTGCTAATTCAGGTATGTCTGGTGTGACTGGTGCTGCATTACGTGAGACACAATTTATCAATAAAAGTCTGTGTGCTTTGGCTGATGTCCTAGGTGCATTAGCTGAACATAGATCACATGTACCATATAGAAATAGTAGATTAACTCATCTACTCCAGGACTCTATTGGTAAGAAATTAATTTATGTAGAAAACCAAACACTCAAGAGATTTATAATATTATTATAAACATTATGATTTGTTTCATTACATGGTCATACTTAATCACACCTGCCAGACTGTCTAACCACCTTACCAAAGGTCTGCTCACAAAGTACAATGTAGTCTACAAGGACTTTAAACTCTCAGTTAGAGGGCAGTTACTACTCCATGTATGTCAAAGTTATAGCCAGAAAATAAATAAAGTGCTTGTCTAAAAACTTTATCAAAATGTAAAATAGCAGTTGTTAGTGTGTGGCCATGAAAGTAGTCTATTTTTTATTGATTATTTATGGCTATTTTGTAATTTGCAATCAAAATTAGAAAGTTTTATAGAAATTTTGACTGTCAAATAAAATTTTGTATTCTTCTAAAATGACAGACACTTCTTCTGATTAGGAGTAATGAATGCATTGTGGCTGAGGGTCAGGGTTGTAGGGGTGTTTAGTTGTAGCTGTGTAGTTGTGATGATCCTGGAGCTGCTCATATTGAGCCATGTGAGATGGTTTGGGGATCCATATCTGTGAACATGGTGATATACAAGTATTTATATGCATAACCATTGTGTCCACTCATAAGGCTTGAATAGACCGACTTTTCTTACACATAAAAACAGGACAAACAAAGGTCATAGTGGCATCAAAACGTCACATGGGAAACAACAAACGCAAAATTTTGTTTAATATTTCCAAGCTCAATAATGTGCATTACACATTTTATAGTGGTCAATTTTGATGAAGTAAGGGTATTTTAACATAATATTGCCCTCTGAATGATAGGTATTGTAAAAACTACTGTAAAATACTTTATTTTCGCTTGGAATTTATATTCGCTATTTTCGCTGAAGGAATAATTCAGTGAAAATAAAATCAAGCGAACATACATTTTTCCTATATTTTACATTTAAATCATCAAGAATCACTGAAAATAAATTCTATACAAAACACCCAAAAAGTCTTCTCAGCGAAAATTAGTTCCAGCTAAAATAAAGTATTTCACAGTATAAAAAATAAAATTCAAGTTGAAAATCATTCATTATAGTAAGTCTTGTAATGAATGGAAAATCATCTATTCACTGATGCTATTTTGCTCCCCGCCTAAATGATTTTTCAAAACACTTCAAATCATCAAATATTTCAAGCAAGTCTTCATAATTGTTTTGGTTTTGCTTCAATCCTGTGATTCCATTTGTTTTCTTATTTTATTAGGTGGTGATTCTAAGTTATTAGTGATGTTATGTGTGTCACCAGCACAACGCTATATCACAGAATCCATGCAGTCCTTGGGATTTGGTAGCAGAGCTAGACAAGTAGCTCGTGGTCCTATCAAGAAACGACCAGCCATGTTAGGTATTAACAATGCTAGCATTTCATCTTTTACATACCTCACCTCATGTACATTCATATGAAGTTTCAGAATGTTCATGCTGTACATTGCATGGACACAAACAAATAACACATGTATGTGAATGTCAGGTTTAGTACTATCATCCAAATACAATGTTCACTCATTGTTTCCATTAAAAGTTGCAGTAAAGGACATCCAATGAATTATCTCTCAATGTATATCTCCTCTTCAAAAATTTACAATAATTCCATACTTATGCTTTGATTCACAATCACTGTTAAGATATTTCTGAATCAATTTAGGCATTTGTGTAAAATAGAGGGACTTTAATTCCGATGCCTGTCACCATTTTTAATATTTTGAAATTTGATTATATTTCAAATCCTAAATCATACGAAAACCAAGTAACTCTTATGTCATGTACCACCTTTACCTCCCTCAACCCTAATCCTAACTCATGAAGTGGTGTAATATGAAGTTATTACGAGATTACCTCAAAGTATGCACGAAGACAGTACAGCTAGTATCGACCGGCACACAGCAGAGGTCGATCCGCGGCAAACTGTCTAAGTGCATACTTTGAGGTATTCTTGTAATAACCTTATTATTATACATTTTTTCCTTCCAAGGATACATCATGGGAATGCCCAAATCCAAAATGTTTAAAACAGAATCAACGAACTTCTTTGTGTGGAGTTTGGTCAAACCCTGATAGCAGCCATGTTTGTTTTTATTATTAGAGGACGCTTAAGCTCATAATCATTTCATATTTGGAATTTGCATTTCCTTATATGGTAGAATGAAAATTTACGGCAAAATTACGACACTCTGTAACTTATGGCGTTGTGGTGACAGATGTATAATAATCCTAATTATTGCAATACACTACCAGTAGTATGTACATTTTTAAAATGACTTTACAGCCAGACTATGCTGCTCTATTCTACACCAATCCATTGATGTATACGTGGAGTGCATGTAAAGATGGTATGCATGTGTTATGTGTTATTGCATGTATATAATTGTTAAGATATCCTCCCTACAGCAGGTATTGTTCCAGTAGAACATAGCAGTGGATCAACCAGCCCTACATTTGAGTTGAGGAAACCACCTCCATCACCATCCCCTTCCTGGCTATGTAAATCAAGTATGCCAACTACTACTATAGTGATTTTAATCAGCTGTAATAATAACACACTAGTAGCTTTGTAGTGGCCTGCTATTGTAATGCTTGTATCACCTAAAATTAGTCTGTGCTGGTGGATATTTAATTTTGCTTTTGAAAAGATGCATTTACATTGCTAAGTCTTTGAATAATCATAATATTATGAGATTTAAAGCAAGGGAGTCACCTGTGCATGCGTCAGATGCCATAGCGTGTCATTGTTTACAAACAAGCGCCTATCCATGATCCTTTGCGTTTTTAGCATGTGTTGTTATTGTCGCTTAGGACTCGTGCATGGGCAGGTGACAACCCTCTCGCTTTAAAGAATACTGCAAAGTATACACAACGTATGGTTATTGTTAAGATGTACTAGTATCTTATATTGCCTGAGTGGAGGTATATTATTGTCATAACCTAATATTAAATTAAAATAGACACATGTATTTTATTTTTGCTCATTTGTCATAAACTATTGGTATATTGGTATATCAGATTTATTCATTCATTTGATATAAAATAGTATTCTGCAGTATATGGTCTCAGAATTGACAAAAAGTTAGTTGATACAATGAAAAGTCTCAAAGAAGGTATTATTTTTGGCTTCCAAGAGCATAAACAGGAGCCCATTGTATGTCTTGATGTGTGGGTGGATAAATGTTTATTTACATGGACTTTGAATGTGCTAAACAACACTGCTTTTATACACACATTTTCTTAACGAAGAAAGAGCAGTTTAAAATTTATTATTTAATTATTTAGTACTTTTAAATTATTTATTTTCTATTGCACTGAGTAAATAAGTAAGGTCAATCCTGTATAAATATTATTTTTATGGTCTGTAATAATTTATGACAAATCAGTGAAAATGTATTACATATGTGTCAACCAATTTGAAATTTTCAGTGAAAAAATAAATGCACCCACAATATAAATACTATCTACAAATACCAACTCAGATTTAAGCCCAATTTTTAGTGATACTTTGCATGCAATGTAGTGGTAATGTGATACTTAGTTGCCATGGTAACTGGTGATTTAAGGTGCTACAACATAATATTCATAATATATACTCACTATACATTATATCAATAATTTCTAATATAGATATGACGTGTCAACATTTCATGATTTTAGTAGTTTAGAATGTGTGTTCAGTAATCTTGAAGTAATCCTTGTTTTAGTCACAGTGATTCAAACTATATCACTATTATGGGGTCATAGTTCAAGAGAACCCACTGTTATGGGGTCATAGGTCACTCCAATAGGTCAACCTTTTGAGTAACAGAAGTTTGAATTCATTTGGAAAGTGAAAATATTTGGTTACTGTAATATCTGGAAATGATTATCGATGCTTAGTAGTTCACAACTTGAATTTGGCTTGAACTCACTCAAAATGCTGAATTTGTAGAAATATTAAATGGTACACTTGTACCCACTATAGGTAGTGGTGGCATGTCTGGAGAGAGTGGACTAGTCAGTAATACACCTGATAGACGACGTGCATTTCATCAGCGTCATAACAACCACCAAAGGGATAGAGGGTTAAGTGCTAGTATCAGTGACAGCACACCACCGCCATCACCAAGACAATCTCCAAAGATACAAAGTATGAACTGATTTATGTATTTTTGTGTGCTATTCTAATATTTGTTTTTGCACAGAAATCCCTTGTAGAAAACATCTAACTGATTTTCTTTGTCATTAAGTTTACTGATAGGGAACCACAATATTAAATACGGAATATGTACGACTTTTTTTTTAAATTCCAGATTGGTAGATACAAAAAAAATGTAGACATAATTGGTTCGTCTTCTTTACTTATGGGAGCTTTTTTTTGAAGCCTAAATAAAGAGTTTGATTTTATCTTCATTAAGTTTTGTCTGAGTTAATACAAAACGACGTCACTTTAAAAGAAATGTCTGATTTTGAAATAACATTTACTACTTAAAGTACTCTTTGTTTATTTTATTTTCAATATCATTATCAAGTATTTTGTAAGGATTTTTATGATGATTTGGCCATTAAGGTTCCGATACTTGTGTTTTGTGTGATTATGTTTAGTGCATTCTGAAGTGCCTAAAAGTAAATAATTTAAATTTGACTTTTCACATTCTAAATGGATGCCTGTGCACTGTAAGCGACAAAGACAAGTTACACAATTCTTTAATTATGCAAAATTATACACTAGTAATGTTCAAACAGGAACTAAAAGTATTATCGGTAGATAGAATTAACGATCAAACCAGTAAATGAAAGCATTGATACTTTAACACTAAAATGATTTTCACAATATAATACTTTTCTTTTCTTTTACTGCGTAATATTTTGTAAATATTTAGTCACTTAATTCATTTTTAATGTTGACACTACACCTCATTTTATTTACCATATATATGTAATCATATTTATGCTTATTTTAATATTTCTAATAATTTCCTCCCCTCATCTAACATTCACATGGCATTGCCTCGTGTTGGTGTATTCCTATCTCTATTGTATTGTATTGTATTGGTGTGAATTGATAAGGCCAGACTTTTTTTATTCCTTGTTTCTTGAGTTTTTATAAGGCAATTTTTTTGAGGAGGGCGAAAAAAAAAATAAAATTAATTTTTTTTTCCATTAAATTTGTGTGATTCTCAAAGAATTGTAAGTGAGATCATTGATCGGAGAGAAAAAATGAAATACAATTTTATTCCATGAATAACCTGGTTTCTCATCTGCGCGAGACTTCGGTACTTTGATCATGATACTCCCACGAAAATACAACTTGGATTTGTTATGCGGTGAAAAAATGAGAGATAAAAATAATATTTTTTAGCAATTTTTTGCGCTTACAAGTCGGCGGGCGCGAGAAATTACGCTGAAATAACATTTTATTTTTATTTCATTTTCGGCTCCTGTTCATTCTGCGGGTTCGCAAAACAAAGGTTAATAAAAGTCTGGCCTAAATGTCACTATATATCAATGTGTGTATTTTATTTTATATTGTAAGTATAGCTGCAAGCAGCAATGACCATCTCGCATTCAATATGTAACCCACCAAACAAACAAATAGACTAGTATTATGGTTGTATATTTGATTGCTTGGTAGACTAGCTTTGATTTTTTCTCACGCAGCACAGTTATTGAGTAAATGGATGTGTGTTTAAAATTTAAAGCGCGGTAGTCGTCGCGCTGCGCATGTGCGAGATATATGGGTCTCGTATAAACAAAGATGGCGACCTTGACTGTTGCGCAGATCAACAAGTATGAATTGAGACGTTTCCAAGCTTTAATTAGGTAAATATTCATGTGATTGGAAGGTAAAAAAAGGAGTCACCAGCGGTAATTAGTGCAAGTCGCGCCCAGTTCAAACCTCATACTTGTGATTTCCATTTGAAAAGCGCACCGGATTGTGGGAAAAACAATGTTTATCAACACAAATGTCGAACATGCGCGACGACTACCACGCTTTAAGTTATTGAAATATTATAACAACATTTTGTGGTGCTTGTAGTTTTTATGAAGACCCATTGTCACTGTTAGATTTGTTTGTCTGAATTTAACTTGCATGAATATTAAAAGCATAAGATAATGATTGCATGCCATTCATAATATATTCATAATGTTGTTCCTCTATCTGGTATGATTTCTCTCCTGGGGGGGGGGGGTCACTCAACTGAAAGTGGGTAAGCAACCTTGAAAGAAAAAAAAATATTTTGATTAACATGTTTAGAGGTATAATATCACTTTTATCATACAGCAGTCATTGTCGGTTAATTTGCATTGCAGGCCTTGCTTTGGGGTCTTTGGTAATGATATCATATATACGACTTGCTGCTGATACAATCCATCAATGAAAAAGTCAAGCTCAGACACAAATAGTCAGCAATAGTAGCTGCTTGATAATAGTGAACTGTCGCTTTCAGATGATTAACATACTCCATGAGAAAAATATTTGTAAAAATATGAAAAACACGTCTTTTTTAAGGCTTCTCATTAACAGGAATGAAAAAACTGCAACCGGTTTACTCCAGTTATGTCATTCATCCTTATTTTTTTTTTAATAATTTTTTTTATTTGCGAATATAAGAAATACAAAAAAGGAAAAACTAAAAAGCTGAAACGTATGAAAACATTAGAAATGAGTACATTTAAAAAAAAAACAGGACAAAAGACAATAAAAAAATGATAGTAATTCATCTTGCTGCACACCCTGTTATTCTATCAGGGTATAATTTCTTGACACTATTTTATGAAAAGTAGTTGTTTTACATTTAGCAATACATCCTAAGAGTTAACCCCTCCCCCAAAGCTCTATTTTCAAGGTTGGTATCCAAGTTTTAGCCGAGTGTACTTCCCCTGTATGTCCTATTATTTTAGCCCCATTGATAATGCTTACCCATAATGCAATATTGTGGTTCTACATTTGGATCCTGCAGACTTTTATATAGTATTTCTTTGTTTCTTTCAAGCTGATACCGGTCCATTGTCCCCTGGTAAAGGGAAAGGAGGTTCATCAAGACCATCTATGATTCCAGGTAAAATAATAATTAATTTATAACAGACAAGTCAAGGAAAGTTGTATAATTACTGTATAATTTTATATTTTTTTTCTCCAAAATTGTGATCAAGATAAAAATTGTGACCGATACAAATTTTGTTGTAATTATTAAAAAATTATTAAATAAAATTATAGAATAATGCATAGAAATGTTGCGCCACAATTGTGACAGGCAAAAATATTGTGCTCAAATTGTAAGAGTCACAGAAACCTTCCCAGAATAAACACATGCACTTGTAACAGAACAAATCTGATATAATACAAGGTCTTGTACTATTTCCCTGTGTTTATACATTGTATATCTATTTTAAAGCTTATGTTTCCTTGGATTCAGTATTGTCATCATCAGCAAATAAAAACAGAGGTAACATCATTATTGTCGTTATTAAATGTGTAATACATGTAAAACACTAGTTGTTTTATTAATGGGTGTAATACATGTAAAACACTAGTTGTTCTATTAATACATGTAATACATGTAAAACACTAGTTGTTCTATTAATACATGTAAAACACTAGTTGTTCTATTAATACATGTAAAACACTAGCTGTTCTATTAATACGTGTAATACATGTAAAACACTAGTTGTTCTATTAATACATGTAATACATGTAAAACACTAGTTGTTCTATTAATACATGTAAAACACTAGTTGTTCTAATAATACTCATACATGTATTTGTTGTAATATAGTGTTGAGTGAGTATTTGGTTGGTATAACATGTAAATAACCAAGGTTTAACACTCATTCTAATCTTATATGACCAGTATAGTGAATTTATGTATAAACAAATTTATAATAGTGTGCCCTGTAACAGGACTGAGTCAAAATGGAATCCCCCCAAATCAAGTTGAGTCAGCTTGTTGACTGCTGGGAAGGATAGTCTTTAAAAAATAAAATAAAATTGTATGTGACTCTGTAGGTGACTTAGTCAGATGAGACATGATCCTTTTTCTTCAATCTACATATAAGAATGCAACAACTTTGTATCATAAATATTGAATCTATCTATAGCGGATCAACATTACCATTCTTGAATACACTATACTGTGTAGATAAAGTTCAAACAAAAATATTTGTGTACACCCTGACTAAGCTAGTATGAATTACAAAATATTTTATTCAAGCCAGTGGAAGTCCCAAAAAAATCACTGTTGATGTATGAAGTATTATAAAACTAACTGACATGTTGTTGTCATTGATATTACTATTAACTATAATCTTATTAAGTATGTGGTAGTTGTGTGTCTAAAATAACGCAGTGCTAACAACTCCTAATACTGAATGTTGATTTCATATCCTAGTGAATTTGGTGTAAACAAACAATGTAATATACACACATTGTATATGTTGCATGGGACCCACTCAACATGACAACTGTGATGCTTTAAACATCTATTGTTTAATTTGTCCAATCTTTTTTTTAATTTTTCATTTGTTTCTTGTATGGAAAGTTTATAGTATCTAAATTATGTTGTTTAATTTTGAATAAACACTGCACATACTAAATGAATAATACCATGTTTTGACTTAAAATAATTGAAAACAAATTGTAATATTGCCTAAAATTGTGTGTTCACACAGATGCGTATTGTCTGTATGGTATGATGTAATCATGTTTTTATTTTTTTAAATTATTATTACAGCGTCACCGAGTATGGAACAGTTGTATCAAAGTGGTAGAAATTCTCCCAGAACAAGAATGCCCTCACATGGTGCAGACAGAAGATAAATGTACATATTCTTGCCATCAATGTTTTGAACAAAGATAACTAGCTCCATCCATAATATAATTACTTTTACCACAATTAAGTTTAACTTTTTATAAAATCATCAATATCCAGAGAGTTCTAGGTTACTGCCCTCTACTCATGGCAAAATATTTTGTGGTCTTATTTTTAATAAAACTAACACATTTTTATTCTTTTTAAATAAATGTTCCAAGTTTTGTTTGTGATTTATGTAAATTGTCTTATATGAAAGTGATAACAATTTCTTTGCATTAACAAAACTGAAAAATGACGACTCAATCAGATTATCTTTATCAGTGTATACATTGTTAAATTTAATATTTTTATATTTTTTACGTTCATCTATCAATCTACAGTTATGACAACTAAAAAAATGCAATCAATGAAATACTGACTGCTATTTAAAAAAATTGAGTTTAAATTATTTATTTGATGTATTAATCATAACATTGTTTTATTGAATGGGTAATAATGATTATTAAAATTATTCCACTCAATATCATGTGACCTATGTAGATTCATTCAATTTATGATCTAAATGTATATAGATCTCTTTATTAGCTTCGCTGTCGACTTTGTCGAGCGGAGCTTATCATATGAGTGATTGTACGTCATCGTCCGTGTCAATGTTTTACCTGTTCGACTTCTTCTTGAAAACTACAAGCCTGAATGCTTTGATACTTGGTGTATATGTACCTTGGGTAGACCTCTCTCAGATTTGTTCATTTCATGATGATATCTTCAATTCTCTAATTTTGGTGAATATTTTTGTCATTTTTGGTAAAAAGTGATATTTTCGACTTCTTGTTGAAAACCGCAAGTCCAATTGCTTTGATATTACATATATAGGTACTACATGTGAACCTCTCTCAGATTTGCTCATTTCATGATAATATCTTCAATTTTCTAATTTTGGTGAAAAGTGATATTTTCAACTTCTTGTTAAAAACCGCAAGTCCAATTGCTTTGATATTACATATATAGGTACTACATGTGGACCTCTCTCAGATTTGTTCATTTTGTAATGATATCTTTAATTCTCTAATTTTGGTGAATATTTTTGTAATTTTTGGTAAAAAGTGATATTTTCGACTTCTTGTTGAAAACCGCAAGTCCAATTGCTTTGATATTACATATATAGGTACTACATGTGAACCTCTCTCAGATTTGTTCATTTCATGATAATATCTTCAATTTTCTAATTTTGGTGAAAAGTGATATTTTCAACTTCTTGTTATAAACCGCAAGTCCAATTGCTTTGATATTACATATATAGGTACTACATGTGGACCTCTCTCAGATTTGTTCATTTTGTAATGATATCTTTAATTCTCTAATTTTGGTGAATATTATTGTAATTTTTGGTAAAAAGTGATATTTTCGACTTCTTGTTGAAAACCGCAAGTCCAATTGCTTTGATATTACATATACAGGTACTACATGTGGACCTCTCTCAGATTTGTTCATTTTGTAATGATATCTTTAATTCTCTAATTTTGATGAATATTTTTGGTAGAAAGTGATATTTTCCACATCTTATTGAAACCCGCAAGTCTGATTGTTTTGATACTATACATATTGTTCATTTTTTAATGATATCTTCTGTTCTTTAATTGAAATGTGCATTGCTAACAGTGGAGCTATCTCAGCCGGGAGGCTGCTTGTATATCTTCCCTTTACTTGTGTTATTAGTATTTACTCACTGTACACACTCTTTCATAACAATACACTCAGACAACCACAGGGGTATCAATGGGCTGGATATCAAGTCCACATCAAGCAGTGTCATAGACCATTACCTTAAAAAGCGGTGGTCGTCGCGCAGTGCGTGTTCGAATTTCATGTAAATAAACAATGTATTTTACACGCGTTGTGTACGTTGCTATGAGTCCCATATCGAACAGGACGCAGCACGAATACCACTGCACTTTAACTTTACTACTACCGGTATTAGGAGTTGAGCATGGCATTCAAGTATTACACAGAGAAACTAAGAAAACTTCAAAAGTGTAATGGAAATAAGGTCTTGTATGTCTTGATATTAACCATTTTGTTATGTTGTATTTATCTATACAAATCAGTTTTTACCTTGCCCATACCATCAAAGATGGAAGGACAAGGTAAATTAAGGGAAAAATTTTGTTGTTGGCGTCGTCGTTGTTAATAATTGTTATTGTGTGCATAATAATTTTACTAATTCTATTCCAAACTTCATTAAACTTGGTCACCTTATTCATCAGTATAAAGTCTTCCCTGAGTTTGAACAACAGATGTCCTGTATGAAAATATCATGCAAAAATTGAGAAAATCTGATAAAATATTTTGACTGTTTCTACTTGACTGATCACTGGTGATACACATCAAAGGTCACTGATCTCAGTGGAAATATGCATTGTTGTATGTGTTCAATGAAGCAAATCCTTTATCTTGTAATAATATCCTTGGTAATGTATCCTCCAAATCCCATGGGAATACTATACTGGGTTTCAAAACCAACTCATGAAGAGATTTTTTGCACAGTCTGATACACATTTGCAAACCTACCAATAAAATCTTTACAGAAAACAAGATGTCAGAAAATCAATATAAACACTCCTATGAACTGGGTGCCAAACTTTGATCAAGATCTGAAGCTAATAGAAAATCTGTTTAGTTCAAAGTTATCAAATCAAAAACATTGCATCTTGAAAAGAAAATTGTACTAAAATATATGTATTCTGTATTTGACAAACAGTTCATTCGACAAATGAAAACTCACAGGAATATGTTTCAGCTATTAGAACAGAATGATAGAGTTTTTGTAATACTAGTTTAAAAACACACTTCAAAAACAAAGATTGCAGTGTTTGAAGATTCTCAGGAGGCAACAGTACTGTTGACTTCTCTCTCCACTGGACACCAACTATTTAAGTTGATTTGCATACAAAGCAGAGCTTGCAACATGATAGCTATTCATAGTTTTTTTTTTTACTTTTCATATAATACAGTAGTCACACAATGAGGCAGTTCATATTTGTCTCAGTGAATCATTAATTTTTGACAGACACATGTACAAAATACTTGGACAAAAGCCAGCTAAGATTTTCTGTTATCTTGCATGTTTTATGAATCTTTTCACGTCTAAATGCAGCACTTTTTTTCTGCGATGAGGCATTTGTTTTTATACTAAAATATCTGAATCACTTTGATTTTTTTTTGCATTAAGCCAAGCCGAGATGAAAATCAACTTCTAAGGGTGAAGCGCCATCAACGGTGATCTGAGCACCTGAGTATGTTCTCTCCTACATTGGACTCAAATCCATTCGTTATCACCTATTAAGGCAAGGGGTAGGGAGTGGTATCAGAGGATGCTCCCTGACAAAGCCACCAGTCTACTTTTTTATTACTTCATTGAGGATATGGTATATACCTCCCCAGGTTAGCACCTTTTAGTAAGTGCCTAAACACACAGGCAAAAAAAAACTGAATTACATTTTAATACCAAAAATGCTGCTGTCGTTGAGGGCGCTCTGTCCTGTGAGGCAGCTGGTTCTAGGCCCGAATTCATTCACTTAAATAAGGTTAAAAAATCAAATTGTACAGTTATGTAATCACATAACAGAATGATAAGTATTCAAAGCTGGCAGCTAGACTAGCGCTAGACTTTCCACAATCTTTCTATTCAGTGCAATATAATTGCATTTTGGTCACGTGATGCATGTCACAGTCTACAAATTCAGTTTTTTTTCACTTTATGATCACCTCATTGTCTTCAGTAAAGAACTAACTATTGACATTTTCACTAAAGAATTCAAAGTTACTAAAATTCTTGTCATAAATACGAGTTATTTCTGATGAAAACAGCCGAGTATATTCAACTCTGGTCTTAAAATTCACCTTGTGCTTCTCATTCAATCAGAATACTCAATTGCAACTTTTAATATGTGCTAAATAATTTCTTAAGTCAAATCTCTGTTCTCACAAATTGTCCTAGGACTTTTATGAAGTGACCAAGTTTTACTCTGAATAACCAACCACAAACTGGATTTGACCTCGCAGCTCACACAACAGATGTGACAGACGCACTGTCTATTGAGCTATCTGGAACACCACATCAGTCATTGGCTGGTGAAGGAAATTATATTTAGAATAGAAGGATTATGTAAACAATTTCAGTTTGAACATGAGAAATCTCATGCACATGTGTACTACACTCTCCATTATAACACTTGAAGTTCAGTGGTGGTACTGGTAGCATAGTGGTTGTTGCATCAGACTCATGATCGATAGATCCAAGTTCAACTCTTACCTCAGGCTGAACACCAAAAATGGTTGATCCCTACCCTCTGTGAGTGTGCCACAGACTCAATGGGAAGGCCAATTCCACCACTGACCGAGATTCATTCACTAATGAATGCAACTTTGGGGGAACCAGGATAGTGCATTAGATTGGCATTTGATAGAGAGATGGCCACACAGCCTTGTCATGTAGTCTCAAACATGAATATGACTTCTGTGGCAAAAATGCACTGTGTCAGCACTCGCACTTACAACTTGCACATACAAAAAAAAAAGTCAGGAGAGACAAGAGTGACATTCAATGTCAAGAAATGTCGCTGGGCCTGTGTTTGAATCACGTAAACAATGTTACGCGAGTCCCATATCGAACAGGATGTGGCAAGACAACCACAGCTCTTTTAAATCATACAAACATGACTCCACAATAAATTGCTAAATTGTTTTTATCTCGACATTTTATACATAACTTGTGGCGGGGGGCAAACCAGGTACCGAACAGTATATAATAAAAATACATAACTATAATAAACCAGCAACATAACTTGTGTTAGCAAACCATTTTTGTTTTATAATAAATATCACATTTAGTAGATAAATAATTCCACAAATATAAACAATTTCAATTTTCATGATAATTTTTACTGTTTAAACAGATGAGAAATATTGGCACAAACAATTTATGACCAAAATATTGGAAAGGGGTAACTAAGATTATAATTACTCTTGCAGAATCAAAGGAATCTTTTGGAAATGTGAAGTATATTTCATCTGTCAACAAAAGAACATCCACAACTTGACTATTGAGGGCGCGCTTACTTTCAGCTCAGACATGCTGATAGAGAATATTCAAAAATAACCAATACTGTTTTAGCAATTCAAAAAACACTTAATAATTGACAGTCAATTACAGAACATCAAGCAAAGTATGTAAACATAATAGTACTATCCTTTCCACAAAGCTGTGGTCCACATTTTATGTTGCATGCATGACCAACTGTTGAATTAACACAATTCCACGAATTAGAAA